CAAATTTGCTTTTATTGCTTGCTTTCAAGGACGGGCGTAATTGGTCCGAATGGACCTGAAGGTTCGGCAAAAATCGTTGTAGATGGTTGAGTATGCCCATGAACGAACGGAGTTGCTTGAGCTTCCTTGGCGGTTCCAGAGCTAGTACTGCCTCTATTTTAGAAAGTTTCGGCCTATAGCCTTCTATATCAATATCGTAGCCTAGCCAAGATAATTGATTCAAGGAGAAGTCACATTTCGACAGCTTCAGAGCGAAACCTTCTTCGTCCATACGAGTTATCACCTTATCTACAAGAATATTGTGATCCAAGATTGATCCCTTCGAGACTATCAGAATATCGTCCAGGAAACAGAATACTCCCGACAAACCCTGGAGGGTATTGTCCATCGCTTTTTGGAATTCTTTTGGCATGTCCGGTAACCCATAAAACCCAGTTTTGAACCGATACGTGCCAGTTTGTTCTCCACAGACGATATTAAAATTGCAATGACGACTAACTTCATCACTGAGCGGGATCTGACTGAATGCATATTTTAAATCTAGGGACGTAAACCAGACATCACCTAAGGTATTCGATGTGATTATCTGGGCTGCCGAGTCCAACAGTTCCAACAAATTCGGCATTTGATAATGGTTCTTATGAATTTGATCAATCATAGGTTTTGCGTCCATAGCCAATTTCACAGAACCATCCTTCTTAGCCGTAATTACAATCGGAGAAATAAAATGCTGCTTTGTACATTTATTAAGTTTGACCACGTGGCCTTCTTGAATTAGTTTTTGAATTTCCTGACCGACTTTGTCTTGAATATGCACCGGAACCCTCCTTCCTTTTTCCTGAATCGGTACGAGTGGGGACTTGAATGTAGAAAAAACTTTGTGATTTTTTGCTTTACCTACTCTAGTAAATACACGATGAAACTTCTGGTAGAAGTGAGTTTTCCAGGACTCAGACGTTACATTCAGGTTTGATTGGGAGACTTCACCCACCAAAGGCCGTTCTGGTCTAACTTGCGTTGTTTTCACCCCCAAGTGGGGTTGCAAATCCAAACCTAGTAAACAACGTGTGCGGTTTTCCGAAATAAGGAATTTTGCAGATTTAACATGCCAACCCAAAGATGACACATCCAGAACTAATGTACCCATCAGTTCAATTCTCTTCCTATTATAGTCAACGTATACTGTATCGATTGGACTTTCTTGAACAGTAAAGACCTTGGCTGACGGAACAGTTTTCAAGATATAATCTGCTGTCTTCTTATTCACGAAAGAAGCCGGGCTTCCTGTATCCACCGTTGCCTTGAAGAACGTCTGTCCACAACGCAGTGTTATCTGAATGGAACGTAACTTGCCCGTGGCGGCATTGACCACCTCCAACTTCCTCACTGACGCAATTGGACGATTTGGTTTTTCTGCTGCCACTGATAAAACAGCAAATTCCGACTCACTATCGGACGTGATGAAATTACAATTTTCTTCCACTGTCTCATCTGACTCAGCTTCTACATTCGCTACGTTCTTAGAATTACAGCATTTGGCAAAGTGACCTTTCTTGCTACAGTTCCTACAAGTGACATTTCTGGCTGGACAACTCTGCTTGTGATTTGCTGAAAATCTATTGCCACAGAAATAACACGACTTCGATTTCTCGTTGTTCCCCTTTGACTTACTGTTCTGTGCTCGACTAATCCTATCAGATAGTTTCTTTCCCTGGACAGAGAAGGTAGGTTCCTGTTTTATTCGGGAGTTTTGACCCGAAGTAGTGCCTGACTGGGAGAAATTGCCCGTCGAAAACGAACTCCCAAGTTGCCTTTGCAAATCGGTGGCCGTTTGTGCCCCTTTTTCTTGAAGTAACGCTGATTTCAGAGAATCCTCTGGAGTAGCGCCTGGACGAATACACAGTTCTCTTTGAATATCCTTATATCTCATCTTGGCAATGAAGATATCTCTGACAACTTCTTTTTCCTGATCGATTGTCCACCCACACAGGGCGGCTTGTCCCGTCAACCGCAGATAAAATGCTTTCAAACCTTCTCGATCTGAATGTACCGAGTTGTTCATTTGCATACGTTCGATAATGTAATTTTTCTCCTTTCTGAAAAGGAGAACACAGAATTCGTGAAATTCCCGAAATGATATTGCACTGAGGTCCGCGTGTGGATAACTTTGGAGGAATCTTTTCCTCCCTTCTGAGCCGAGCGAGAAAAATAAACGAGACTTAATTCAATGTTCAACCTCGTAATAATACACTCCTGGTGCAACTCTGGGACCTTTCGCTCGGCGCTCTTCGTTCAATTCCGCAACTCTTCGGACAGCTGCGTCGTTACGTGCAATACGGTTTGCGATTGCTGCAGCATCTTCATCCACCCCCACAGCTTCTGGAAGTTTTAACAGTTCGCGTGGGTCACACCTTTCTCTCAGAGTGATTGCCAAGTTGAATTGTCCTATCCAAGAATCCCAACTACAGGGTGGATCAGCAGTTGGTTTATGCCAGAATACGGGTACGCCTAACAGGTCAGTTCGATCCTCTGAGGTCAAAACTGCTGGTTGTGCCATGTGAATACTCAAAGAACGGTTGTAAAACAAGAATCAATTCTCCTTGTTTATGTTTAATAGTAATGTAAATAATATAGATAGTTCAGTACTTAGATAATGTCATGACAAATCTTTTTAATACAACTTAAATCTTTCATAAGTTGTGACAGAATGAATAAGAGCACATAGTGATAAATCTATAAAGGATTGACAGGTCGGTCACGACCTTGACAAACGGAAAGGCAAGTTTAGCACGAATAGCTAGCACACTAATGACGTCATAATAATCTAATAAACTACGCCACACCACAGCGGTAATGAGGATTGATAAAAACAAACACACCGTACCGCCTAGCTTCCGATGTAGCTGAGATCATAAAAACGTTACGGATCACACCACACGGCGTCACAAAAATTTCACCGTTTGAGGCACACATGGGCCGCAAACCGAGCACCCCTTTATCAAATATCGCAACAAGCAGTACACCAAATAACTTAAATTGGGGAAACGCAAAACATGCATGTTTAGATAGAAAGAACCTAACAAAGCCGCCACTACCTGCTGAGATCATGCATGATCTAGAAAGATGGTCGGAGGACGAGGTATCAGTTAGAGAAAAAGGAAAGACAAGCCCACAAATGCCAAAGAAACTTCAAAAGGCAAATTCTCCGACACAACAGAAAACAGGTGCTGGTCCTAAAGTTATTGAACTAGCCAAAGATAAACTTAATGTAAGACACAAAGGGATACAGAGAACAATAGACGCACACACTAAGAAACGTATAGAGCAGGTGGCCCGGAAAACCATTAGGATAGCAACGAAAGTGAAAAACCCAAAAACCTTTGAACAAAGGTATAAAACAGTTGACGGAAAAATTTTAACATATACTCCACACACCGCTTGGGTACAAACATTCGGCAAACAACCAAGGTTATTGCGGAATAGCGGAGCAGCTTTTGTACCGAGCCCTCTAATTTACGGGCCTTGTAGACCATCTCGATTTAGTGATTATGTCGCGTATAAATCCGCACGGAGATCTGGACCATGTCTACGTTTTTTAGACATTGAAAACCCCAACGCGCCACAACACGCAATGTTCAAGGAGGATAAGACTTCGGGCTTGCCAGTGAATCAAACGAAAAAGCAACTGAGACAACAAACGAGTAGCCCAACAAAACGAAACGCAAAGGCAACGGGGAAAAGAACTGGAGGACGACCACCAACAAAACCACAAACCAGAGGGATGACCCTACAAACGGACGTGACAGTAGAAAAGGGGAAGAGAGCACTTGAAAAATCAGAATCAAGGCATTCGGACGACAATCAATCCACCACATCCTCTGAGGATGTAGCCCCTTCGCCAAAACGGCAAAACCAAAAAGGAACACCACCAACATCAGAACCACAAAGAAAGTCCACACGCAACCGCCAATCGGCGCTATCAAACGCATTTGGAAATGCCATCCCAATAAATACGATAACCGAATTAGAGAGCAACGAAAAACCAAAGGAGATTCGCCTCGAGACAGACTCGCCACCTGAGCAACAAAAATTAGAGAACCCAAGTTTAAAGACTCTAATTCAAGAGATGGGTTTTTCGAACAAGACCCCACAATACCAAGCCTGTTCAAAATTCATCGAAGCCATCAGCCCAAAACATGGCAACAAACAAACTGAAGTGGTGGACCTGACGTCACCAACTGAAGAGGATATGGCGGAAAACAACAACGATATTCTACTTATTAAAGACATAGACAAGAAAAAAAAACCAATTACGCTGAAATGCAGGACGATGAGGAACACAATAAGCAAGAAGGGGAACCGTCAACGCTCAAAATAGATAACGCTCAAAGTCCCACGGGGACTAAAAACTCAAAAACTGCAACGGTCCCACGCGGACCCTAAGACTCAATTCATATTTTTAATTAGTAAATTAAAATCGTTTCAAGGGGGAATGTCATCCGGCATGGACCGACAAAACTTAGTTATATATATTTATACATTTGTTTTATGTTGATGTATGATATAACCATACATATGGCTGGTCAACCGACCTTGAGAGACCTTCTCTCAAATAACGACCGAATGATCGGTCAGACCATGAATTAACATTGGTTCCAACTAGTTGTTTTATCTCGCTTCGCATTAGAATATCTGTTTGTCGACGCATTCGGATTCTGGAATTAGAAGATCATACGTTGAGGTATGACAGAAATTTCAAAAAAAGTTTGGAAATTCAGTTGAATTTTTTTTAAAAGGACGACATCGTAAAATAGTACCAAAATCTGAGGGACACCTCGGAAAATTTTGGCAACCACCCGCTCGGTACGGCACTGGTCTCAGTAAAAAAAAGCAGCAGGGATGGCCGATGTAACCGTTAAATGAATGCGTTGACATTTGAGGATCAAAATCAGAAGCGTTATGTGAATGTATTGGGGTAGGAGTCAAAAAATTTTCCTCACTGGAGATCTTGATGGGGTTGAGTTTTGTGATTGCGTGAGGACTGACAGATTGGGTGAGGACTGGGTCGGATGTCCTGTCCAGCAGGTCCCACACATCTATGCACCCGTCCGACTTGGAGATGAAGAAGACGCCTGCTCTGGTGGGACTCCACCGTCCATGAGTCAGCTGGCAGTTGTGGCTCTGCGACTGCATCAGAGGCTCCTACATGTGCACAAATTATCCTTCATGAGACAACAAATCGCAACACGTAATAGAATTCATAACATGCGACAATTTGTAAAAAAGCGACAATTCGTAATAATCAATGAAGTGGCAATCACTGATTCATGCGCAACATTTCCCTGTTGCCAAATTTAGGCACAAGGGAGTATGTAGTCTCTCCTCGCCAATGCCTTGTTACGAATCATTGTTCGTTACCAATTGTCGTCTATTGTAAATTTTTGCAAAACAAACACAAGCGAAGTACTTTTTCAATATGAACTTCTATTTTGCTTGATCATTACCTAGAAAACTACTCGCTCGCACTCAGTGGAAGAGAAAATATTCGATTAAACTACAATAATTTTGCTCTTTTACAAAAGTTATAATTATTTATAAGTGCCAAACTCACATGTTTAAACACTTTATAATCCATTGTATTAACAACATTTTTCAAGAAGAAAAACTAGATTATAATCAATCAAAATTGATGAGAATTTTTTAAAAAATATCTGTCAATAGAAAAATCTGTGAATGTGAGATGTTTTGTCACCCACTAGTTTATTTAAACACAAACTGTTGCCTGGAAACAAACATTTCAAAGAGATCTTTTCATATTAATTGAAGGATTCACGCGGTAGATATTGGAAAAAAAAAACTTGAATATGAATATAAAGTTTCTTTCTGAACTTCACCCACTCTCCACAAGCTATGTTAAATGCCAAATGATACTTTTTGCGCGCGGTAACATATTATTAGGAGCAAATTAATTGCTTGAATTCAATTTGGAAGGATTCACTTTATCACTTTCGCTTTAATAGAACGAAATATATCGCGCATTATTCATCCCAATTTGAGTCAAAGTAGTCCCGAATTAACACCTTTAAAATTTTTTGAACAAATATCTCAGGTGAAACATCTTCTGCATTTGAGCCCCAATTAGAGCTCACTAAACAATATTTTGCATATGGTAGAAGAACTGTTCAAAAGTCAAAAAATGACTGAATAAAAAAATATAAACCAAGCATAACATTCTCAATTTCTTAGAAAGTCGGAATAAAATGTACAAAAACATTATTTGTTTGAGGTGTGATCTGAAAATGTAAAACAGTTTTTCTAAAATTTTACATATGTCAAATCGATTGAAATAATTTGATTGAAAAAAGACTTTATTAGAAAAAAAATGTTGATTAGAAGCAATTATAATCGATTAAAGTCGATTAAAATAGATTTTGTCACTTGAAAAAACATTAACATTTTAAATTAAAGTTCTACAGACATGAAGCAAACAAATAAAATGTAATTGCTTGTCAACTTTGTTTTACTGCTGGCAATTTATCTTACAAAAAATCGACAAAAATGTGAACAAAAATACGTTTAATTCTGCTTGGGACAATTTTACAACCGCGACCATTGCCGCTATTTATGCAACTTTTTTGCGCCTAATCCACCAGGTAAAGGAAAAACAGGCAAGCTGTCCAGTTCTTCGCAAAGACCCGCTAGTTGACCCTGGCTTATGGCTATTTTTCTAAATATTTCTATGGTTACTTTTCTGGGATGGGCAATGTTGTGACCCCTTGAAGCAGCCGGGTCGAGGAACTCAATTTATGTTTCGACTTTCTCGCTAAACAATCCGCATGCTCCGACCCTCTCGACCAACGTTTGGTATGTTTCGATTTGCTCGATCAAATTTCGGTATGTTTCGACTTCCTCGGGCCAACAAAAAAGTCTTAGACTTTGTTCAACCCAGTTCGGATATTTTTTAAACTTTTCGACCAAAATTTGATACGTTTCGTCTTTGATCTATTTGATCTATCTGAGAAATCATAAACTAGTAAATCGGTAGGCGCAATTCAATCAATTATTGTCCAACAACTCGGCACAATGCCAACTCAACATTATAATAATTTTTGGCCATCTCGACCAAATCATACGAGCGATATGCTGCAGTTTTCTGTAAAAAAAAAACATAAACAAAAAATTTCGGAATTTGAAAATTTAGGGTATGATCGACCTATGCTTCGACTTTCTCGACTATCAAATAACATAAACAAATTGACAAAAAATATACTGCATGCTTTTCTGTTGATTTTTTGTGATAATGCTGTATTGAAACTAAACTATAAGAATCAGAAAAAAGCGAAATTTCGCCATCAAAACTAATTTGTTTACAAATTGAATCTTCCAATTTTGTTTTTGTTTTTTTTTTACAAAATTGGACTCTGAAACTGTTGATCTGAAAAATTTACTTTTTCGGAAAAATTTACTTTTTCTTGCCGCAGAAACCCTCAGATCTCGAAAAATTAAAATTTTACCTCTGAAACTTCTAGTTTTGCGGTAAGCAATGTTTCTCAAGTGCTTCTGCTGGTTGCAACTTTCTGACGAAGATTTTTTCTGAGCAGATTTTTTTGCTAAGTTTCCAATTGAACGTCAAATAAAACTTTCAAAACAAAATTTGGAAAAATTAGGTTGTGCTCAATCTATGTTTCGACCAAAATCGGGTAAGTATTGCGCTCGACTTAAAATTGTTCTCAACCGCGGAATTTACAGTCGAAAAGCTGCACTTGCTCGAATTTCACCTCGATCCGGGCAACAAACACGCACCATGGTAGTGCGCAATCATCTGACATTTCGATTGAGAGGCGGAGACGTATCCACCTCACAACGCTCTTTAATATTTCAAAATTCAGTAAAAAAAAAGCATTTTGCATAAGTGCAATTAACAATTTAAATGATAACGCCCCATGTAAAAATCATTTTGAGCAAGAACACTAATCCATTTTAATTTCAATTGTGTCATTAGCGAAGCAGAAAGATGTGAATATCACTTACAGCACATGCCTCTAGCCAGATGCAGAAGTTCCACCCACCCACCGAGAGCAACACCTCCTTAAAGAACGGAGACCTGTCCAGGGTCTTCACTGGACCATCGTGAGTCGCCTTCACCCACTCGGGGGACTTGTCTGGAATGAAAAAAAAAACACGATAGTCACATTCACAATAGTGAAATGAAAACTGAACAGAGAGACTGAATATTCAAAAAAGATACGCGGCATCAAAGTTTGGTTTGCTTGAACCTTTGGTGATTTTTAAAAACTAAACTTTTGAAATCAGTTCTTCATTCATAAAAAAGCATGTTGGTTTGGTCTAGGATTGGAAAGTTTCACTCATTTGATGTCTGCTGTGTTGCTGTTTGACGTAGGTTTTCGTCTCTATCTCCAAGTTTACATGGAAAACTTAATGTGGGCTTTGTGATTCTAATATTAAAAGTGGGAGCAAAAACAATAATTGCGGCTTAAGGAGAAATCAAGAACTTAGGTAATCAATCAAAATCCACTGAGTGAAGTGCTCATTGTAGGCTAACAAACCATTATGCGATAAACAGTGAAATATCAAATATTTTATTAACTAAACCAGCCAAAAATCAGCGTTTTCATATTGTCTTCAATTTTTCAAAACAATACAATCTTCAACAGTCACCATTTATGTGTGTGGTGTTACAATAGATTATAGATTACATGGTGAAATAAAATAGAATCCACTTTGATTTTTTTGCGTTGAATAGAGACAACAGAAGAAGCCACCTTTTGGAATAAATAGAACAAAACTCTGGTCTGCAAATACCTACATGTAGTTGAATCAGAACCTAAACAGTTGTCGTTTCTGCTGAATTAAAGTTGGAGTCAGAGACCAAACAGAACTGATCGAATCAAATTAATGGCTGAAACTTTATTTCCAAAAATTGAGTAGTGTCATTGTTAACTAAAATTAACTCAGGCGAATAAAAAATTCTCAGTTTTAAGCCCGTTGTGATGTCTATCAGGCATAGTTTTTTCAGCGGATCATTACGTTTATTTTTTGACTTTTCGTTCCCGGTTGCTCTATGATGTAATATACTGGAAATTATTCGAGAGTAGAAGTGAATCAAGGCTTTTCTTGAGGGTGGGAGGGGGCTGTGTGGGATTTTCAAAGAGTTTCGATTCGAAATCTTTGTCGACCTTTTCAGCCAAAAAGTATTTGGCGACAATATACCTCTTAGTCCATCCCTAGAAGCATATTGGCGCCAATGCATTTTAGAAAAAGCTTAGGGTAGGCCGATCAAAAATGGATGTCTTAAATAGTACCACAGGGCGGTCAAGGGGTAAATTACCGAGGGGGAGGGGGCGACATTTCTTTTTGAGACCACGTCCACATTTGATTGCCACTCCGATCAACCCACTGTGTTTTAGGCTCAAATCGGAGACTAACTAGTACACGGCCTTGTCATTTCGACCAATTACCAAGTTCTTGTTTTTCATTCCAAGCACAATGATATGAAAGCATGGATGAGAGCCTGAAAGTCCAGAAGCAGTTCAAGATGGTGCTAGTCTTTAGTGCCCGGGCAAATAAAGATAAGGAGATTGAACACTACTCACGGACTAGTTTGCCAGTCTCCGTGTCCTTCTCCAGGGTCCAGTCCAAGTAGATGATCTCGCCGTCCTCCGTGCCCACAAAGTAGTGAGTGGATGCTCCTTGCAACACCTTCTTCTCCTTGGGGGAGCTGGGTCTCAGCCCCACACTCTCAGCCTGCTTCCTTCTCTCCTCCTCCTGTCGCTCCTCCTCCGCATCCAGTGTCGGAAGAATCGAACGGTCACCTAATGAGAACCAGAAGAACGATAATGTGACCCAATTAATTCACGATGATGAGCAGGGCCAAAACACAATAGATGTTCACGCGCTTCATAACACACAAGACCCTGATTTAGATACTGGCACCCCTTTTTAAAAGGAAATGCATTTACAGCAAAAGTTGCCAGCAACAAGTTTTGATCGCAACCGGTTGAAAAAAACTGGCTCAAACCGCTCAAATCTTGCATCAAGATTCGGGCTATGCTGAGTTCACATACGCAAAAACAAACGACAATTAAAATTTTTTCCGTTCCTTCAAAATTCTGTCCAGTTTAGAGCCCCAGGTCGAATATTTGTAATGATAAAGTAAATTTAATTCATCACAATTGTCTGAAAATAAGCCTGTAACCATTGCTCTTTTTAGAAATTAGTTCAAGAAACAGAAAAGATAGAATAAAATTGTGGGATACCTTGCGTCTCGCGGTAGCTGAACACGTAAGGCGAGTGTTCCCCGTGGCCGTCTGTCCTGTGGATGGGGATGCGCATGATCGGCTTCCACAGAAGATCCAGGTACTTGAAAGTGTTGGGTACTTTCAGGGGATTGTCATGTGGCTTCAGGTTAGAGGTCCCTTTGGGAGCTCGGATGTCCCAAAACATCACGTGACTATTAAACAAAAAAAATTAAACATCAAGAACGCGACTCTCAAATTGGCAACAAATATTATTTTAGATTTTTGATTAGTTTTGAAAAGTAAATGAGCAAAACCTCACTTAAAATGCATTTCTTTGTAGCTAGCTTATAAGTTTTTTAGGTACTTGCCCATCGCATCCTGAAGTGACTAACTCCACACACGATGCTTTGTGGTTCTCCAAAATTTGACCTTGTCGATTTATCTAAGCAATCATATAGGATTTTGAAGTGTAAAACGGTTGACTACAGCAATTCGTTACCATGTTATCGACCTCTATTGAACAGCCAGTGAAAAGGAACAACGGACTTGGCTATGTTTTACAGATTTAGGTATATTTTACCATACAAAAACAAAATAATTACAATTTTTGGCTATACAAAAACAGTTCATTGTGATTTTTGTATAATCTGTGTGAAAATTTAGGCCTGGACCATTTGGGATACCTTATTAAACCAAAAACCAAAAAATAATTTAAAAATATTTTCGAGAAATTAAAAAAAAATTTAAACAGCTAAATATTTCACCAATTTAGAAAACTCCAAAAAAATACAAGATTTCGATCATACCAAAAATGCAACTGAAACACAATCAACATCTTCATCAAAAAAATTCCTCAAGCTGTTTGGTCCTATAGGCAGTATTTTTTGGAGCAAACCGTCAATGCAAAAATCAAAAATGCGATATGATTTTCAAAAGATTTTGTATCCTAAAACACTTCATTTCCTAAAACACTTCATTGCTACGCGTTGACATATAAAAATGTTTTTCTCTACACATTCCGAAATTTTACGAAAATAACCTAACTCAAGTCATTTGAAGCGAAAAAATTCTGCTCTAAGTGGAAAATATTTCAAATAACTTTTTCATGAAGCTAATCTAGAAAATTATCTGCCTTACACAATATCGTTTACATGCCTTCAAACTCAGAAATCCTTCGTTTAAAAAAATCATTTTATTAAAAGCCAAAACCCTAACACACAAAAACGCTTCTACGAAAAAAAGTCTAGAACCCTATTATCAGACAAATGTAGTTCCTCAGCGCCGAGAAAAAAGTAGAATAACTTTGTTATTGTTCCGACCATCGAAAATGGTGAGGAACTTTGTATTCAGCTGTTTTAGTTTTTTTTCAACTTTTTGTTTTCCACGGAAAATCAGCTACCACAAATAGTCATCGGACTTGGTTGAGTGATATATCATATCAAATCCTTCCAATCTTGATTTGAACAACATTTAAAAATTTCAAACTAATTTTCACAGTGTCGAGAAAAACCGGTTTGAAATTTTACATTTTCGATCTAATTTCGAGCTAATTAGTAAGGTAGTTAATAACTGCAATAGCTTATTTAAGTTTAATTTAAGCCGTGAAAACTTACTTTTACTCAAGTAAAGGTAGGTTATGGAGTTTTTTAGCGCAATTTTGGGAATTCAAAACTTGAAAATTCAAAAAATTTCCGCAAAAAAAATTTGAAAAAAATTTTGAAATTTTTTTCAATTTTTTTTTTCGTTTTTCTAGTCATTATTCTTTAAAAACTGTTGTCCAATTGACCGATTTTACTATGAATCTCAATATGCCTAAGTTCAATTATTTAAATCAGATTTTTTTTATCACAACATGCAGAAATAAAACGACACCAATTTGAGAAACCATTTTTGTATTTTTTAAGACTGCGGTCGGAACATTCTGTGCTACTTGCACAGTAACCGGCTATCCTTGTTCATATTTGGCAAGTTTTCAAATGATTATTTCAAGGACGTCTGGTTAGGATTTAAGGTATTATACATTTTAATTACTTAAGCAGCTCTTTCACGGCAAATGGAGGCATGCCTGATTAAATAGAAGACGATAGAAAAACTATGGCAATGTGCTTGCTGCTTACGTCAATGTGGTCTGGGATCCACTGGAGGTCTGTGACCCAGTTCTTGTGGCTCTGGTCTATCATGGACACGGCACAGTAGTTCACCACGGGCGTTATGATCGAACTCTCGTCTATATAGCCGGGCTGAAATACAATATCTTAAATCACATCAGTGTAGACTGATTTAGGATGAATGGGGGCGTCAAACCCTCTCCACTCCCCCATATATTAGACGACAACATCTTCTGTATCAACCAAAGGGTCTCTCTCCCTCCTTTTGTAACAGTGAGCGGTGAACACCTATTGTGGACTACCCAGATTAAACGTTTGATTATGTCTATAACGTTTAATTAGTCATGTCTATATGATCATTGGTTATGATCAGTTGACCTTGTCTGCAGTCTTATGTAGTCTGAAACCGTTCTGTTCAGTAATCATTACCAGGGTGTTCATGGTGTTGGCCTTGGTGACCTTGGCCCTCTTGCTTCTCTTGAGACGCTCCTCGTTCTGCCCACTGATGTCCCACAACACCACCTGTCCGTTCACACATCCCCCCGCCACCAGGTAGGGATCTGTGGGATTGAAGCGGAAAGCACAGATGTCATCAGGCGCCTCCAAAATCAGCTGAACAAAATCAAAACCATTACCAAGTTGTCATCAAGGAGAAATTTCCGTACCCATAAACTGTTTTTAGCGTTTGTCACGGATTACCGTTCATTTCGGTGATTCTGTCTCCGCTCCCATTTTTGATTACAATGATATAGTCTACATTTGAATCTAATTGGACTCATTTTGCTTGAAACAAGTTTTTCGTTTAACTTAGAAAAAAATATATACATATTGTGGTTCCGACTTTTACGTCGTGCCAATCAAACTTAGGTAGATTATCGAGTAGGGCATAAAACGTGGCCATGTAGCTCAACAGTCTGTCTTATTTTTGCTTTAAAATTTCTCAAATACCGGGTAAAACCCAGTCGACCACGTAAATTCAGTTCAGTTGATTAGGTTAAGTTCAGTTATTTGTCTCACCTGAGGTTGGATGGGGTCTGAGAAGCTCCAGATGAGAATAAGGGAGGGGGTGAGTTGGATCTTGCTCAGATTGTCCACCCGCTCCTCCAGAGTACACCTCTCCCCATACGACACCGCCACCACCCCTGATAACACACGTATGACACGTGACACCACAACAGATGAAATAGTTAATTGATCAAATGGATTTACAAACACAGAGGCTAAGCAGAGAACCGCGCAAGTTCTCGCGAAGCAAAAGTGTAAGTCCCATTTATATTAGTAAAAACAGAGAAAAAATTACTCAAGAAAAACTAAGTTTTTCAGAAGTAACCCAGATCCATTCAACAAAAGTTCCAGCAAAGCCACGTAAAGGGGGTAAAACAAAAATAAAACCGACAACGTTAACCCTTCGCTAACCATAGACCATCTGTGCAGTGTAAAACACTATGATTCAGGGGCAGATTTAAGTGGGGGGGGGGGGGGGCTGACGCCCCTCTTTTTTCGGCGCGCGCTCCCCCTGCCGACCCAAAGGGTCCCCCTTTGTACTATTTTGAAATATCCATTTTTGGTGACAGACCTTAAAACTTTTGTAAAGGTGCCTTTGGCGCCAATATATACTAATTTTGAGGGGAAGCGCGCGCTGAAAAACGCATTTTTTGGTCATAATTTTCCAAAATGTGCCTGAAAACGCCTTTTTTGACCTGCTTTTTTTCAAAATTTTGCCTGCGGCGCAAAAAAATTTGCCAAAACGGGGACTTTTTAGTGCTTTAGCTTGAGGAGAGCTCAAAAAAACAATTTGGTCGAAAAAAAGGTCGACAAAAATTTCGAACAAAAAATCCTTGATCCGCCCCTGCTATGATTAAAAGTGAAAAAGTTGTACACAGAGGCGAAGCGGAGCTTCGCATCACTTGCCATACAACAAACAAAAAAACATGAGAAGTCTAGGCAAACACGCCTAGCAAAACGTTTGAAATTTAAATTAGCAACGGAACAAAACTTACGAAGCTGAAACAAAGCCGACAATTTGTGAGCAGACAAGAGTTGATCCGAAAAAAATGACTTATAAAAAAGTTTCAACTACCCCCTGAAACAAAAAACAACAACACTTGAAACATGCTTATAGCACAAAAAACCGTGATTAGGCAAGTAGGCCGACAAAACTGAAGTAGACAAACGTAAAAACGACAATTCAATTTTAACCAGAAAAAAATTAATTTGATTAAAAAAAACAAGAACAGCCGGTGGCTGTGCAAGTAGCTCAGAATGATAAAAGGATTTGACAACCAAGAATTTAGGCACATTCAACAGTCATAGTAAAATAGGCAGATCTGGCAACGGTTTTAGTCGAAAAAAGACAAAAAAAAAACAAAAAAATTTAAAAAGTATTTCTAATTTTTTTTTCTTTTTTTTTGCAGAATTCTAATTAAAATTTTGAAAGTTTCATTCCAAGAACGGCAACAAAGAAAACAGAATTTTTTTTAATGGGGTTCAACTGAACTTTCATGGCTTATTCTTCTATTAAAAGCCTGTTCCCTTGCTTTTCTCGCTCGAAATTCGACTTAAACTCAATAATTGCCAACCGGTTTTTCTCGACAATGCGACAAATTTTTGATGTTTTTTAAATATCGCTCGAATTAGGGCTTGAATGGCTTTATTATGATATATCACTCCACCCAATACGGTGATTATTTGCGGTGAAGGGTTTTGGTTGCAAAGCAAAATAAGCCTGCTCGCTCACCTCATTCAATTGAAATTAGACCAAAAATCAGAAATTTCAAATTGGTTTTTCACGACACTGGGAAACTTTTTTGAAGATTTTTAATGTCGGTCGAAGCACAACTGAAAGGGCTTTAATTTTATTTGTCGCTCTATCCATTCTGATGATTACTTGTGGTACCTGATTTTGTGTAGAAAAAAAAAAGAAAAAAAAATGAAACACAACCGAATACTAAATTCCTCCCTAATTTCGTAAGATTTGTACGAAAAGTTTTTTTTCGCAAAAAATCTAGTTCCCGATTACAATACACTTGCTCTCGAAAATGCAATAAAAACAAAAATATTACGAAAAAGTCACGGAACATCATTCAACAACAAAAACCTGCACTATTGAAAATAATGGAAATAGCCAAACCATAGTCCCCCTATGCCATCTGTGCACTGCACTCTACTATGATACATTTGAATCAAAATTTAAAGCAGATAGAACAGATGTTATAAGAACTTCCAATGCTAGGCAACGAAAGAGCGTTTTATTTGCGAGTTGGGTTCGCAAAACTTAAGATTCATAATATAGCATTAGGCTCGTAAGCTCGCTTGCGTTAAAATCTCCGTTTTACCGAGATTACTTCAATTACAGCTGCCAATGTACCTTTGAGTGTGGGATGCCAGTCCATGCAGGTGACAGTTTTGTTTTTGCTGTTCTTCAAGTCCGTGAAGCTTTGATACTCCTGAATATAAACAGACACGATTTACGGTTTTATTATGTTAAAGTTTTGTGATGACGATAGTAAACTGTGATGATGCGTGTTTTAATATGTGCGTAAGAATGTGCGTGCGAGTATTCGTGACCTTGAGGTATCCGTCCTGTTTGCTGCCGAAGGTGGTGTCCTCCACAGCCAAAAGAGACCAGTCGTCCACAAATGCATTCATCACCACATTGTGTTGCAGGCCCAGGTCCAATCTAAGTACAAAAGAATCAACTCAACTACTTATTCCCAGTGGGAGTAAAGGTGAACAATTTCTACATAAGCGGCAAGTTTAAGCCAGTAAGTCAGCGTGCAATGTTCAAGATTGAACAACCTGATGAATAAATCTTTCCGCAATTTAAGGTAAATATCGTGATGATTATTATTCCCGCATTTAAAGTAACCATTTTGATAGATAATAGAATCAACAAGAGTGTGAAATGAAGTTGACTGGAATACAATATTAACACAAAACAAAAAGTTTAATCAAAGGCTAGCCATAACCAAGGTAGCCCCCCCCCCCCCCCCCCCCCGCATCCCCCAGAGCGAGGTAAGGAGTTACACGCCCCCAGAGTGAAGTATGGAGGTAACCTACCTCCCACCTACCTAGAAGACAAGGAACACCACAATCAGTGAGTTACCCTACTACCCCCTCACCCGAAGGCTTTGTCATGCCAAATAGTGAATTCTGATTGGCTGAAGAAAAACACTCTTAACCAAAGGAACAGCTTCCTCCCTAAACTAATTTAGGGGAGGTGGGGATTGTTCACTTGGTCCACGCAAGTTTTGATCGAAAAAATAGATGTTAACCTGTATTGAAAAAGTTGAACACAAGTTCATAAACCGCTGCTTTTTCTCAAACTTAAAGCTGTTTACCTATCGTTCGTTTCAGGGCTTGAGCAAAAAAATTGAAACAACTGTAGGAATCACTGGTGTCCCTTTTCTACCTTTTTCTCAATAATAAATGTAAGAGAAAGCTAGCTTATTATATGTGGATGCCAACCTGGGCTTAGCAGTCTCAACTGTGCTGGCGAACTCCTCCGATTGCATCAGCCGCTGCTTCGTCTCTTCGTCGAACTCTCTCGGCTCGTACTGGGTAGCCGCGTTGGTCGGAAACACCCACTCGGTCTGGGCTGACTCGGTTGTGTATGATTGGATAGCCTAGTTAAACAAATCACAGCTAGTCGCATCAGCTAGTTTTTTCTATTTTACCTAGTTCAGCTAGTTTCTTCTATTTTATCTAGTGCTGATGATTTACCTGGACAGATAAACTATAAGTATAAATAAGTGCAAGTTTCTGGAAGCAAAATTGATAATTGCGAACTGAGTTCTTCATTTTTTGTTATATCACTTTGAAAATTTGCACAAAAATTATGATGTTAAAACAAATTTAACGGAAGCTTATTTATTATTTTTGCGATATTTATTATATTTTGAAGGTTATTTATTATTTTTGCGATATTTATTATATTTTGAAGGTTATTTAATATATAGTGTTTTAAAAGGAACCTTTTTAAAAACCTAACTCGCCAATAAATGTGTATATATTTGTGTATACATTTATTGGCGAGTTAGGTTTTTAAAAAGGTTCCTTTTAAAACACTAACGCTCTCAAGCAGGCTAGTGTAATAGTTGAATTCAGGGGCGGATCTAGGATTTTCTCGAGGGGGGGGGGGGCGGATTTTCGAAAATTTTGACGACCTTTTTTTTTTTTTAGGTCGATCAGATTGATTTTCCGAGCTCTCCCAAAGCAGTAAAAAGACCCTGTTTTGGCCAAATTTTCTGCGCCGCAGGCAATTTTTTGAAAAAACAGGTCAAAAAAGCCGTTTTTGAGCACTTTTTGGAAAATTTTGACAAAAAAACGCGTTTTTTGGCGCGCGCTCCCCCTCAAAACTAGTATATATTGGCGCCCAAAGCGCCTTTAGAAAAATTTTAGGGTCGGTCGACCAAAATTGGATTTCTTAAAAAGTACCAAAGGGGGGACCCTTTGGGTTGGCAGGGGTTCGAATCCTGAGGAGGGGGGCGTACGCCCCCCCCCCCCCCCCCTAAATCCGCCCCTGGTTGAATTATATCGATCTAATCGGACAAATTCGAATTAATTTTAGTGCGTACAAATTCCATTTAAATCATTTTGGATGATTTTTGGTAGCATCTCACGGATAAAGCTTCATATCAATTTTCGGGATTGTGGAAAGATCCAATTTTTTCAGTGCACTTTTGTCAGTTCAGCAAGCTTAATTACGATTGGCAAATATGAAACACACAACTTAAAAACAAGGTTTCAATCATTGTAAGCTGGATTCAAAAACAAACTCTACAGCATTGACAAATCAAAGTCATGAGTACACACTTTTTTCAATAAATTTTCCTCTATCTATAACATATACTTTTTTTGAAAAACAGTTTTAAAAGCAGATTATATTTTGGACGATTTTCAGATGTAATCATATGGTTTCAATTGATTCATAATCTGAAGTTAACACCATTCCGCATTTATGTCTTTTCCGCGTAAGTAGGACAAAACTAAATAAAACATATTTCAACTATCCGAAAAAACTTCACCAAGGAAAAAAACGAAAGAATAAAAAAGAATATATATTTCTCCAGTCAGCGAAGTAAAATAAACATTGCTGTTTAATTTTTGAACTCATTTAGACTAATGAGACTCGGAGATGCAAAAAAGGAACACTTAACGTCAACCCTTAATGAGATTAAGATTTGTGAAAAAAGAAATATGACGTTTGTATTCAAAGTACATTTATCAAGATTTCTTGGTCCAGACAATTAAAAAACTATTGTAAACATAGATAGCTGGTTCCGACCATAATCATAAAAAAAACAAATAAAACGTCTTCAAATTAAGGTAGTTTTTTGTGCTCAGTCTGATAATAAAACTACAAACACGCGTAAAAATTTAGTGAATTGGGTATAATCGATAACAGTTGTCTTCAAAAAAAGACAAACAAGCATAAAACAATTGTTCTGTTTTTTCACACAATATTTTTCAAATTTAAAAAAAAATTTCGATCAAGGAAGTGGCAAATAAAGCTTAAAAAACTAGTCTTTGTTTGGAAAAATCAAATTAATTTAGCCTAAATGACCAATTTAAAAAGTTATCATCTCTTTATTCGATCGTTTTATTGTCGAATTAAAACAAAAAATCAAAAATTTAAAACCGTTTTTTTCTCTAAACTGGGGAAATTTTTGGAAACTGTTTTAATGATCTTGGACTGACCTTTGACTGAAACGGCTTTAATATGATATATTTTTTAACCCAGTCCGATGATTATTTGTGGTACCTGATTTTGCGTGGAAAACCAAAAGATAACAAACTAAAACACTCCCGAATTCAAAAATCCTCCTATTTTCAATAGTCGGAACAATAAGATAGCAGTAAACAGGCACCTGGCACAACTATATAAAAGATATATTAAGGAAGATGTGAGTAAACAATTTGGAAAAATGATTAAGATAAACATATAAACAAATAAACAAATTCTTTCACATTCTTTCAACTTTTTGATCAAAAAAGGATGCTACCTCAAGAAAACTATATCTGACAGTACCAATCTGTTGGCACTTTCGATCATTGAAGAAAAAAGCGCATAAAAGGATTTTTGAGGTTTATTGTTCCCACCACTGAAATTTTGGAGGAGCTTTGTCTTCGGGTTGGTATTAGTTTTTTTAATTTCTTTTAAAAAGATCCGCACAAAATCAGGGACCATAAAAAACTATTGGAGGGGGTCGAGTAATATATACTATAAACACCCTGCCCTATAAGTCGTAATTCGACAGACATGAAAAAAAATATCGAAAAAATCTCACATTGTCAAGAAACACCGGTTTAAATTTTTTTGAGTTTTTGTCTAATTTCGAGCGAGTTAAGCGAGCGATTAGGTCTTAGAATAGGGATATAAAAGTCTAACTCAAACGATAAGCCTTCAAAATTTAGTTTTAGAAGCAACATTTTTTTCGAAGTTTTTTTAAGCGCCTTCTTTAGAAGTTTCCTGATCATTATGGTCGGAAGTTTCTGTGCTACGTGCACAGCAACTGGTTATCCTTGTTCAGTGTTTCAAAAACTTTTGAGCTCGCTAAACGCATTTGCGAACATGTTTTGCACTAATTGCAATTTGTTCAGATGCGAATTGTAGCATCCAGCGAGTCCGGTCAGCAGAATCCAATGCAAAAATTGATTCAGAATCCAATGGAAAAACACTCTAATTAAATCACTATAGCATTGAATTCCTTGCATCTGTAATTCAGATCATGTTTTAAAAATTGCATCTGAAACTCAATCACTTTTCATTACTATACTGGTTTAATATATTTTACAACAAGTGATACGTCTGTATGTTCTGTCTGAGTCTGGTTTGTGATGTGATGTCACACAAAATGTGATGTGACTATATTTTTTTTGCATGAGGTGAGTCACACAATATATCTCACAGCACATGCGAGCCACCCAACATGTGAACATGTGACCTGACTAGGTTTTTGAGTAGTTAGAGTGTTACCTGTACTCCTGTCTCCATCTCCATTCGACTCAGTTCGAAGCTCTTGCTGTCTTGTTCTGAACTGGAGACACACTCTATGTAGGCGTCTCTGCCCGCATGACTGCTCCTGTTCTTCCACTTCACGAGGGGCGCTCCAAACAACTTCCTCTGACGACTCACTTTCATTGTCACCTAGAAGCAAGTAGCGTAACACATCACAAGACATAATAAATGAGAAACAAATCATGAAAAGCGGAAAACACAGCTACGGTTGAATCATCTGAAAATTCAAAAAACCTGACAATTACAAATTAACGTGCAATTTTAACCAACAACGTTTTAGCTTCTCGTTAAGAAAAATTGATTGCAAAAATCTCAAACATATTTTCGATACGAAATTTTTCGATAAAAGCTGTCAAAAATCTAAAAACTAGGGAGCATTTAACCTTACTCGCGTTTATTGTGAATCGGTAGAATTCAGAGTTCAATTTAAAATGTAACGCCGACAAGTTTTTAAGTTAGTTTGCAGAAATTCGATCGAAAGACAATGCTTGTAATTGTCAATTTATGTTTAAAAATTGGAAGCATAAATTACAAAAAAAAAGAAAAAAAACACGATTAAGTCTTCAAAGTAACGTCATTCTCCGCCTCTAAGAACACAACTTCAATCTCACGAAGTATACCTCATTTGCCATCACTCGTTTGCAAGCTCCTCCACACAGAAAAGTTCCTACAGTTGGAGGGAAACATACGATTCAAATTTGAGCGCGATAGCGCTCTAGATTATGTTAGACTTTGGCACCACTTTATGAACCACGTGCGATCAAATTGACTGGCAAGATGAAGCTATAATACCGTTTACGTCACAATTAACGACGACCACTATACTGTCATCTGCCTCCTCAATGTGCCAACGGCTTCGGTGATATGATGAAACCCCCCTCCCCTAGAAAAGCCCTGGGCTCTTTTCCAGCAAATTTCAAGTTTCATATTTTTTCAGTTGTTTTACGTGTTAGTGTTGCAAAATACGTGATGTTACGACATATAATTTGAGGAACAACATTAGATTAATTTTTTAAACTTGACATTCAAATGTGGGGAACCAGGAGTTCAAATGTGGGGAGCCAGGACCTGCAATGACTAGGACCTGCAGTGACTAGGACCTGCAGTGACTAGGACCTGCAGTGACTAGGACCTGCAGTGAGTAGAAGAAAAAACACTAGTCTGTATACTAACAAGGTCCCGACTGTGCTTGATGATGTGGTCCTCAATTTCCATTTCACTGCCCAGCGACTCCCAGGGTTTGCTCTCGGGGGGCTGGTACTCGTACACAGTCAAGTCCTCCGGCTCCCCCTCTCCCTCCCCATCCTCGTCGTCCCCACCTTCTCCACCTCCCTCCCTCTCGGGGTCCTGGAAAACAGCAAAAAAATATAACCATGATGTAACCTGGATAACCAGTTTGCCGCAGAACTTACGGCTAAGATCAGCAAAGATCATAGCGGAAGCATTACAACATGAAAATCATAATCGCTTCTCATTTTATATAATAAATCATTACACGGTTCCACTTTTCTAGAAGAAAGCGTTAGAAAATACCATGTTCGAAATCAAAAACTTGTAGCGACAGCTTACAATATGATTTAATTCAAGCACAATTTGGAAACATAAATAAGATACAAAATTTTACTGGCCGCTCAAGAGAACTATTGGCAAAAGACGCAAACTTCTAAGAAAACCACTATTAGATGATATCTTGGCATGAATGCGCGTTTTTAAAGTATGACACTTTCAACATTTCGCCATGTTGTTTTACTAAAGCGACGTTATTGATGCTTAGGCTTCTTTGAGAACGAAGACTTCTTAGACAACGAACCGGAATAACTGCCGAACAGCGGTGATCCAATTGATCCTAAAACACGCGTAGAAAGACTTGATCGTCCGGTGTTGGACAACTCATCGGACGACAGCCGTCGAATAACCATTTAAAAAAGCTACGCTTTGATTCAATTAAATTCACTTCGCTTTGTAAGGACTCAATATGATTGCACTGACAAAAACAAATATTATAAACAATTGTTTGCTATTTAGATTCCAATCACTATAAAAATTAGAACATTTATAGCAAAATTAAGTCCCATGGCACGAACGTCGTGGAACTTCGGAGCCCGTTTCAGGCGCCTTTAATCTTGTATTGACTTTCGTTATTTTATTTTTTAATATCGTGCCCTCTAGGAACACGGAATAACATAAATTTCTACACAACGTTTAACATCAAATTTCGCAGGTGCTTTCATCAAAATGCCAAATCACAAAATGCATCTTGAAATTAATCCAAACCTTTGCGAAAAAATGTGAAACCGAAGTTCATATCTTAATATGTTGGAAGTATCGGTGGATAAAAGTGAAGAAGCACTTCTCGGTGTCCTGGAGCCTAAAAATACTATAGATAATCAACTAGAAACTAAATCATGTGGATGATCCGAGAGACTTTTAGCATGTCGCAAAAAAGCCTTCGTTGAAACAAAAAGATAATCTTTTCAAACAAAACTTTTAAAATTAGCTTTTTCTATTTGCAAAAAAGTCTTTCGACACTGGCAATGTCAAATGCAATCTGATAAACTTTGAGTCTATTAACGTAAAATTTAGAACAACTAGCTCCTAGCTCACATCAATTCAATCGAAAACCCAGTGTTTCAATAGAAAACTGCAAATTTGGGCGCGTTAATTTTCTTAAACTTGCAATCTTCATACTCCCATAACTACACAAAAAAAAAGAAAAAAACTTATAACTTTGAAGGCTATCAATATCTTTCAGACTATTGTAAAAACAAATAACAAATATTATTAGTTTAAAATCGGACTTTGTCTGGTGAAAAAAAAAATCACCCGAGAACAATCGCTCAACTTCGAAAAACATTTGAAAAATTTTTGACACCATCAAAAAAAGGAAGATAGCAGGTTGTTGTGCAAGTAGCACAGAATGTTCCGACCAGATCATAAATAACTCCAAAATTACGTTTTTCAAAATAGTGCCGTTTCTTATTTGTGGTGTGATGACATAACTATACACACCCGTAGAATTTAGTAAATGAGGCATCATCAACAACACTTGTCTTCAAAAGAAGAATAACAAACAAAAAATTAAAAATTGGAAAAAATGACAATTTTTTCGCACAATAAATTTTCATTTTTAAGAGAACTTTTATTGCAAAGACAACGCTAAAAAAAACTTCCAAAATATGACCAAAATAAAGAATGTTATCATCGCTTTACTTGGTAACTACAATCGCTCGAAATTAATCTATAAATTCCAAAATTTCGAACCGATTTTTTTTCGACACTGGGACAATTTTTTGATTTTTTTAAAATGTTTTTTGAATGGCCACTGACTATGATATATAACTCGACTCAATTCGATGATTACTTGTGGTACCAATTTTGCGAGAAAAACAAAAAAGAAAAACTTCCTGAAAACAAAATCATTCAGACCAGTGTTATCATTACTAAAAAAGCAACCGAAATCATTCCAAAGAATATCTGAATTTTTTTGTGTCAGTGAGAAAAATCAGCCTATAGTCTTTTTTCACACTTATAAAGCAATCGTTTATAAGCAAATGATGAGAAAATCTCTCGTCCGAGAAATGAAGAGAAGGCGCATCGTTCACTTTTGACGAAATTGAGTGAAAAGCAAAAAAATATATATTCCGACCCAGTTTCTTTTGTTACTGATAATACTTTTTGTTTTTTTGGGAAACCGAATCGCGACTGTCAGGGTTTCGAGGTGGAACCACAATGGCCCTTATGGAGCTATCTTTGGGATATCAAAAAGGGGCAGAAAAACTACACGCCATACTTAATTACCCTTTTATTTTTGTTGTTCTTCGGTTGGAAAATTCAATAAGTATCACCTCTGCGCGAAAGAAAAACCCAAGTTTTAACTATCAGGACGTGGAATTAAAATTTGTACAAAGTAGAAATTTGTGTCTGTTAATTTAGAAATAAGCATTCGTTTGAGTAATAAACCAATCTTAATCGATTACATCAAATCTAATGACAAATCAAATAAGCAAATTTTTCATAATTTTATGTGTACAAATTATTGCACTAAAGATTGATATTTGAAACATTACTGTTTTTGGTACTGACCGCTTTATTGGTATTTACACAAACGAAAGATTATTGAAAACCCTAAATGCACAACCCCCATTTTAAAGCTATTCAAAAAGAGTCGCAAAGTAAGCCTTTTTGATGTGTAAAGGTCAAACCTAGTAGTTAACAGAAGTTCTATTTGGTGAATTAAAAAAACTTCAACAAAATGTTTGAAAACCCGATCTTCCCTAGCACAGATTTCCTAGTTTCGCCTCTTACTTAAGCATTTTTTTGCAGTTTAGATGAAACTTTGTTCATAATAATGAGCAACAAAAACACATCTGATGGGATATTAGATTGAATTCTCTTGAGTTGTGATTCGGACTACAAAGAAAAAAATAGTGAAAAATTTTCTCGGGAACAGGACAAACTCATCACAATCTTTAATTTCTCAGACCGAGTATTGAAAATATGTTGTGTAACAATGAGGTATTGTTAGTGTGCTTTGCAACAATAACGTTCCATAAGTATTTAAACAGCCACAATTGTATATACAAACAAATACGACGCAATTAGTTTTTGCTCAAAACATTGATGAATTAATCGAAGAAAAGAAAAAAGAAGAAAAATATTTTTTCCTTCTTTTCATTTCTCCGCAGGTTACATATAGTACCAAGTGATCATTATTTTTAAAAGATAATATTTTATAAGGAGCAAACTGCCTGCCTAAAATCAACTTGGAATGATTGAACTCACACTTACGCTTTAATATTATCAAGAGTATCGCGCGTTAACTTTCCCAAATTGGTCTAATGGGATTATTCCAAACCCCTGAAACTTTACAGCAAGACTGCTCGTATGTCCAAAATAAATGTTACAACTGCCAATTTACTGTTTTCGAATAGTTTTCAGCAAATATTTTTTTTGAGATACTGAATTTTGGGTTGCCAATATCAAATATTACGTGTTAAAAATTAAGTAGTATAGAGAATTATTATGACCAGTTAGCTTGCTTCATTTTAATCTGGAACAATTTTGAGAGCAGTAAACTTGCGCTACGCTTTCACCATCATAAATAAAATCAGCTAAACGCGCACAAATTATTGCAGAACCTGGCCAAATTAGCCTTTTTAAACTCGCTAAAATTGGACTAATTAAATCAGGGGCTGTTCTAGGCTGTTCTAGGGCGGACTTTCAAATAGTTTTCGAAAATTTTGTCGACCTTTTTTTAGGTCGACCAAATTGATTTTCCGAGCTCTCCCAGAGCACTAAAAAATTTTGACCAAATTTTCTGCGCCGCAAACAAAATTTTGAAAAAAAACAGACCAAAAGGCGTTTTTAGGCACATTCTGGATTTTTTTGACAGAAAAAATCGCGCTAAAAATTCGTTTTTTTGGCGCGCGCTTCAAAGACGCTAAAGGCACCTTCAGAAAATTTTTAGGGTCCGTTGCCAAAAATGGATATCTCAAATTGTACAAAGGGGGCCCTTTGGGTCGGCAGGGTGTCGAATCCCTGAGGAAGGGCATTACTCCCTTAATCCGCCCCTGAGTTAAATTAAACCACCCTAATCAAAAAAAAAGTCACTTTTTTTTTCGAAAAACGCGACAACAAGTAAAATTTAAAGAGCAAGCCTGACAGCTAAATTTAATGACAAAACTATTAGTTTTTGATTTTGCACTCAAGACATCAATATGTTTCAGATGGTTAAAAAATTCAGTCAAAAACTCATATTCGGAAAACTAAAACGGATCTTCCATAACCACCACATCAAATACAAAAAATCTGTCATCTTGTTCGAAACTCGAGACAAAAAAGCTCGTCAAAATAGTTTTGTTGGTTTTTAAAATCAGTATAACGCAGAAAACGAAAACTGAAACAAAATTTTGAAAACACTGATTATCATTTTTTCGAGAGAGTTTTCAGAAAACTTGATGCAATCACCAACGTAGACGGAAACTATTAATCCATAGAAAACCAATTTATAAGTCTACAAAACTAGAATGTATGAGGAAAATTTAGAAAAAAATAAGTCGATATACTTGGGCCGGAACAAATATAGCTTTCAGCGTCAAACATGAAAACTTCATAGCGTGCATAATTAGTCCAGAACATGAATAAATTGACAATTTTCAAAATCACAAAACTTGAAAAAATAAATGCGGCATTTTTATAAATAATTGAACTCGATCTTCATTGGGGCATTGAAAAACTGTTATTTCGATCGCCAAAATCGGTCTGAATAAATGAACGACATGAACAAAAACATTCCTTACTTTCTTTGAAAACCAGAATGACAAAACTGCTCATCTCGGGTCAAATTC